AGCCAGTGAATTACCATGTCCATGATAACTTGCTTGATGAAGGAACAGAATATTCAGGCTACAGTGCAGAGTTCTCAAGTGAAGGCATCTTGGGTGATCGAAATGAAGAGAAACGCACTACTGAAGCAGTGAAGAATCAGCGTGTTCAGAGGCAGTTGATGGTAAGAAAACAAAATTATTGGGAGAAAACTTAAATCTAATGTTGCTGAAAATTGAGCCCTGTTTAAATGCACAGCTCTTCCAGAACGGTGTATGTAAAATATTAAAGGATCATCTATATGGAAACTTAGTGTACAGCAAGCAGGGTGTAAATCTGCAGCATGCTGTGAGGACCTGCTACTGTACACTAAAAGTTCATAGTGCACTTTGACCTACTGCTGGGAACCGTACTGTGCGCTGCAGAACTGTTTGTACATGGCAGCAGGGTCCACATGGCCAGTTAGCGTGCTGTAGGTTTACACCCTGGTTTTCCAGGCACTAAATCTCCATGTCGACAAGCCCTATAAGACGTCTTGAACATAAAGTTGCCTGTGCTTTAACATGATTGATTTTCTTGCAATACATATGGGCTTTGCTTATTAGTAGGGGTGCACTGACGCTTCTGGTTCTTTCAATTAGCTAGTGTTCACGGTCTGCACACTGTAATACTCAAATGTCCAGATCTCCAGTTCACCCATTTCCACCGTACTCTTCTGCATCCCAAGGATGTTGTCAAATGCCTCTAAAACATTATTAATCCTTGACTCTGTCAAACTCTCGTGAGATGCAAGGTCTTTCATGTGTGACTCAGATTTGTGACATTCTGTACTTAATATTGCAGACCCTGACAGATGAGCTGGCCCAGGCCAGGGATGAAAACAAGAGAACCCACAATGACATGATCCATACAGAGAACATGCGACAGGGACGTGACAAGTACAAGACGCTGAGGCAGATCCGACAGGGCAACACCAAGCAGAGAATCGATGAGTTTGAGGCTATGTAAGCGCACTTTACAGCCAAAAAGGCAAGACTATGGGAAAGGCAGAGCTTATCCTACGATCTGCCTTTTCTGAGGGGTCACTGTGTAACATCTAAATATCAAATGCTCTAAACCTAGAGAAGCTCCCACTGTCAGCTTATCCTCCAGTTTTTACTATTAAAATGTGGTGACTGCCCATTAAGTCTGTCAGCCAAGCAATTAACTCTGATAACTTTTGCTCATTCATATCCTAGTGCCAAAAGGCCTATAAGTCACATCCACTTTTTTTTCCCACGCAGGGTTTATTTTAATACTACATCTTTCTGTTCATAAAGATGATATGCTGTGATAGGTGGTACATCTGGATTCAGCTGTTTAAATAAAAACACAATGCTGTGGGTGAATTTTGTGCCATATATCTTTACACACTTTAAGTACAGCACATAACCTGACTAATTCTACATTCTGCTTTGTCAGCAAAGACCTGCAGGCCCTTGTTTATAATTTTACAAAATGGTACCAGCAACCATCTGGAAATCTGTTATTTCTACGTACGATAAGTGTGAGGGGTCTTTTTTGTTGCTCTGTTCAATTGGAGAAATTCCTGCAGTGATCGCTCAGAAGAAATGCAGTATAGGAACACTCTTTGATACTCTCCTTGCATAGGTAGGCAAATATTCTTTCTGTTGGACTCATACTTGTTGATGTGTGTTATACTCCAGCTTAATTAATGATCAGCTGTAGTGTAGTATTTATATATAAATATAGTTGATAAATATGGATTGTGACACTAGTTTAAAAAGGGGAAAAGTTTTGCTCTGTATATTTTGTTACCTTTTTCAGATTTAGTATTAAAATAAATTGCATATGTAAAAACATTTGCCTAAACAAGATACTGTCTGTGCTACAGAAGGCGTGTAAAACTGATTACTTGCTATAAAACACTATCTGTAAAGTGATTTTTTTACTTCAAATAAAATTGTGATATGCACATAATTCAGTAAATACAACCTTACTGCACCTATTTTTTCTAACAAATTTTCTAATTTTTTAAAATATTTGATTTAATAATATTTCAGACTCCAACTATGAAGGGATTGTTTGTTTATATCCCCCTTGTATTCTGTCCATGAAAAGAGCATCTGTAGACTTCCTGTTACCCCCACCCCATCTTTGAAAATGTGTCAGTCTCAGTGTGTTGATTCAGTGCTGCTTTATACTCAACATTAAAGCTTTATACCAAGGGGGTGTGGGTTTTTTGCAACACGTGACTATGAATAAAAATCTGCAAGGTAACAAAGGATTTGAAGTTGTGTGTTTTGTGCTGCGTAGGGTGTTTAACCCCAGCGGAGCAGTGCTGCATGCACGTTAAAACTACAGTGCAGCTCTACATTTCTCACTTTGGAAATATGAACTCTTTTATATTTGCAGCTTCACAGTGAAATGTCCTGGGGGGAAGAGAACACTTTCTCTTTTAGTGAGGGTGCAGGCAGAGGAAGACAACTGCTTGTTGCAGTAATGTGTGATTTTGGGGGGGAGGGGGTGTGAAAGGGATGAGACCTTTCAGATAGAGCATTCTCCCCACTCCAGAGAAGATGCATCCACCAGGAAACTGGTACTTTGCTTGATCTTAGACTGCGTCTACACTGGGAAACCTTCACACGCCAAGTTACTATTCGTTATAAGGTAGGCTTGCTTTCTGCAGTCAGACTTGCTGAGGCTGACTAACACAGCACTAAAGATGTCTTTACCCACAAAAGCCTCCCACTGGTACTTCCATGTCTTCATCTGAAAGTGGTGTCTGCCTTTGGTTACAGAATGTGCAAGGCTCTGGCCAAAAGGCTGACCTATGAGCTCTCCAGTGTGCTGCCACTCAATCAGGAGTGAGTTGTGAGGGGTGCCCCATTCGCTGAGAGCAAGAAAACTGCTGCATCACTAACAGTGTGCTCACTCCCCTCCTGCAGCTGCCTTCATCCAGCCTAGGGCAGCTTCTCAGCAGCCCCCAGAGCTTGGCTCTATGATAGAAGTGACCCTTTCTACAGCCATCCTGAAGTGGCTCTACAGCTTTGAGCACTTCCCAGCCTCTGGAGCGAAGAGCTCTGTAGTTGAGGAGACAAAAGTAACTAGCAGCAACCTCCCCCCCACATTCCGAGAGCCTGGAGCAGGTGTTTCCAAACAGTGGTCCGTGGACCATCAGTATTCCACAGATCACTTGCTGGTAGTCATAGAATATCAGGGTTGGAAGGGACCCCAGAAGGTCATCTAGTCCAACCCCCTGCTCGAAGCAGGACCAATTCCCCGTTAAATCATCCCAGCCAGGGCTTTGTCAAGCCTGACCTTTAAAAACCTCTAAGGAAGGAGATTCTACCACCTCCCTAGGTAACGCATTCCAGTGTTTCACCACCCTCATAGTGAAAAAGTTTTTCCTAATATCCAATCTAAACCTCCCCCACTGCAACTTGAGACCATTACTCCTTGTTCTGTCATCTGCTACCATTGAGAACAGTCTAGAGCCATCCTCTTTAGAACCCCCTTTCAGGTAGTTGAAAGCAGCTATCAAATCCCCCCTCATTCTTCTCTTCTGCAGACTAAACAATCCCAGTTCCCTCAGCCTCCCCTCATAAGTCTGCAGAGAGCTGGCTGCCCACCAGCTAACTCTCATTAAAAGATGCTCATTAATAAATATGCTTTCCTTCTCCTTGTTAGCTACTGCTCTAATTGCCACACTATGGGGGGAAAAGCTAAGGATCTCTGCTCTAGAGTATTTGGTCTTGAGTCAGTCTCCCTCAACATGCATATCCCATTGTCCCTTCTGTATTAAGTGCCAAACTCTCTTGCAGTCCCAAGATATCAAAGTGACTAACATCTGAGGGGATACCTTATGCTTTCTCTCCCTCCTGCATTCTTCTTTTTTCTTTTAGTAACTGTACTGCAAACAACTTGCAAGCCAAAATCCATCCGTGCTTCAGGTGTCATGGTTTCCTAAGGGAATGTGAAGAAGTTTCACCTCTACTCAAACAGATGGGCTTCGACAACAGTTGTAACCATGTTAGTCTGTATCCGCAAGAACAATGAGGAGTCCGGTGGCACCTTAGGGGGTGGGTTTTTTACCCATGAAAGCTCATGCCCAAATAAATCCCTTAGTCTTTAAGGTGCCACTGGACTCCGCATTTTTAACCATAGTAACATTTCTGGCAACAAGTGCTGAAGCAACTCAGCAATTGTAGCTTCCCCTTTTGTAATACATACTACAATAATGCATCACTTAATCCCCAAAACACCACCAGCTAGCTGCTGCTGATAAATGTCTTACCAGAGCTGCTCATGATGAAAAATCACTCATGGGATTTTTTTTAATTAAATGCTCCTGGAGTGTGACAGTTGAATATTTTATTAGTTTTGTAATGATTCTAATTACACAGTTCTGCTCTATGTATAGAAACAGGTGGCTTACTTGTAGAGAGCTCTTTTCAAAGGATGTTTCTTTCCAGAAGGCAGAAGTGACCAGGAAGCATGCCACGTTGCTTAACCTTGAGTATAATACTTTCTTCCATGTGTGAGCAGTTGGAAAGGATATGCTTGTCAAATGGGCGCTATTAGGATTTAAGTGTCCATATTTGAATGCAGCATAAGTGTAATATCTATCCAGATGTTTGGGCTGCTGAGTATTTTCTGCCACTGAAGTTTTGACTGGGGGTCTGAATCCCAGGTGCCAGATGGTTCTTCTACAGGAAAGTTGAAACAAAAGGGTAAGGCCAAGTGTACATGAACATTTCTGCCCCAACTAACTTATAATCTGTCTCCAACATTTCTTCTAATGCTTCGTGTCTCATTCTGTAACTCCATCCTTAGATACATGTGTCAAACTATTTAATTCAGTACAGTGAAGACACCATGTATTCTGCAGCAATCCTGATTTAAATTCTGCAGTAAGGACCCTGGTTTCTGCGGCACCCCACTGCTGCAGATTGGAGACTGCTCCATTTAAACAGAAGTATATTCATGTAAATATAGGAAATTAAAACCAGCACAGCCATGCTTGAGTTTATTACACAATTTTATTTTATTGTAACACTCCACTGTATCACAGAAACCGTTGGTGAAGAAGCTAGAATTTTTGTCAGGCAGGCAGGGCAGTGGCTGTCAACCTTTCCTGACTACTGTACCTCTTTCAGGAGTCTGTCTTGTATACCCCAAGTTTCACCTCACTTGAAAACTTGCTTACAAAATCAAAGATATTGTCACAGCACACTATTACTGAAAAATTGCTTACTTTCTCATTTTTACCATATAATTATTAACCAATTGGAATATAAATATAGTTTTTACATTTCAGTGTATACTATAGAGAGCAGTATAAACAAGTCATTGTCTGAAATTTGTTTGTACTGACTTTGCTAGTGCTGTTTATGTAGCCTGTTGTAAAAGCAGGCAAATAGCTAGATGACTTAATGTACCCTCTGGAAGACCTCTGTGTACCCCTGATTGAGCTTCTGGTACCCAGGAAGGCAGATTAGGACAAGTGCTCTACCTAGATGCTTCTGCTAAAATAATCAGCAGTGAAATAATGAAGTATGGACACGTACTGTCACTTATTTTCAAAGTCCCCCACTCAGAGAATGGAGCTGTTAACAGTTAGGAGAGATGAGGTTTGACTGTCAGCAGGCAATAAGGCATTGGCTTACACGCAGCTCATATTTTTAACCATGCAGTTTACAGATTAGTTTTAAAAGAAGAGGTGGATTCTGCCACGTACTCCGTGGCTAGAGAATTACATTGCACTGTCCTATTTCCAAGCAAAAGAATCTCTGGTCTCTTGTCTTAAAATCTACTTCAAAGCATGAGACCCTTTTGGTACAATTGCTCTGTGGGGTGCTCTGAGAGCAGGCCTCCACTACACTCAGTGGCATGCTGGTGCTGTATTTGGTAACAATGGAAATACAGCAGCAGTTGAGTGGATTAACTGTTTTCCAGTTTGCACAGCATAGCTGGCAGATGGGCAAACAAAACTGCAAAAAAACTTACAGCTGTGCCTACACCACGGCTGGAGGCAGGCCTGGCAGCATGAGTGGACAGCTGGCTGCTAGTTCTGCTCAATCCAGCACACTACAACTAGCAGTGTGGGTGTGGTGGCATGTGCAGCAGCTCAGGCTAGCCACCCGAGTTCAACCCTTGGGTATGTGCTCGCATGGCTGGCCCAGGCCTGCTGCATGCACCACCCTAGCACCAGAGCAAGTCTTTGTTTGTCTAGCTGTGCTAGGAAGCCCATTCCTAGCTGCCCCGGAGACATGCCCTGGGTCTCACTGAACAAAGCTAATGAGGCTGAGCCTTTGCCAGATGAACTCATCCCCCTAGGAAAAGCCTAAGTGAAGTTCAACTAATCGACTGCAGTGGAGCAGAGGCATAGCAAGGTTATTCAAAGGGCCTTCTACTGAGAACACCAGCACTGGTTGCAGACCCCACAAAGGAGAAACCTTGGAGCGGAAGAGCCAGGTCTATGGCATAAGATTAAGGCAAATAGCAGCCGGTGGAGAAGCCTGCACAGTAGCAGAGCCTGGCCAGTGCCACCACACATCTAAGTCCTCATGCTATAAGCAAAAGTGTCTTTAAGACAAAACCTTATTGGAGGGATGGTCCCCTGCCCCACTCTCAAATGGATGTTTCTGTAATAGAGAAAACAAAGCACTTAGGTATGGGGGTGGACAGAGGCTTGCCTACCATTAAGGCTGGCAGGCAAGATAATAAAAGCTAGGTTATGCCCTGCTAACACTACTACTTGGGCCTATATTAATCTTCAGAAAACTGCCCAGTCGCCCCTGGGGAATTTGCTGCAGCACTTGCCCCGGAAGTTGAGATTTCATTCAATAAAGAGATGTTTGGAGCTTGGTTAGTTCAGAAAAACTTAAAAATATTAACTGAGTATGAGCTGGCAGCTAGCCTGAAACACCGCTCTCTTGAGCTAAATGGGATGTTTTCACATTGTGTCAGCAAGTTGAACTCTGAAGCCTACGGATGAGGATTTAAATCTGGCCACTTAATATTTCTCTGCCAGTTATTTAAGAGAAGCTGCCAGCTCAGATGGTTCTGCTACAAAACCAAAGCATGGCCCTTGCCTTCCTGGGTGCCTAACCCTCCAAATTCCCTCACCCAAGCCACCAAAATTTCCAGCTATTCCCCACCCCCAACAACTTTCACGCAGCAGTTCTATTACAAAACTGCAGCAGCTTGAAAAAAAATGGGGAAAGAAAAACAAATACCCATATAAAGCCTGGAGCTATGTACTGAGGGTACTTATTAGTCAGGTTCAGATTTAATGTAATAAACCTCTCCATTTTAAACTGTAAATGAAGCGGTTGCAGAATTTCCTAAGTGATGCAGATAGCAGGAGATCCTTGCACAGAACACCGGGGTCCTTGCTAGTCAGCTGGTAACCAAAAGCAAGTGCTGTCCACTCTAGTGCGGTGTTGTGAATTTCAGTTCTGTTAACTGGGTGGGCTTTGGTTTTAAAGCATTAATTAGACCAGCTGTAAAACATTAGGGTTTGACTTGGTCTGTGGTCATGTCAAAGGAGGGATGGCTGCGGGAAAGCCTGGCAGGAGCCAAAGCCACCAGAGAGCAACTCCAAGCAGGGAGTGGTTCAAAGGAATTCTCAGGCCCATTCCTTAGTAAACAAGCTAGAAAGGATGACTGGAGTTCCGTCACCTGACGGACAAGGGCTGGCGCCAAAGCAGCAATAACAGGCCCCAGTGAGTCAGTTCCGGAATAGGGTGATTTGACAAGCAACAACTGGTTGGGCTAGTGGGTGTGGTCACATGCTGGACAGCAGGTGAGAGTCTGACAATGGGTGCATACAAAATTAGGAGCCCACAAGCTACCTGGGGCAGCACAGGCAGAGGTTAATAATTACAGAATGAGAGCTCAACCAAAGCTGTCTGAAATGTTAAAGAAGAACGGAGTTCTAGCCTTGTCTCTTCTAAGATAAATTATGCAGAAGTTACCAGTAAGGCCCTAATTGGGCAAACACTTATGTTGCACATGCTTAAGTTTACACCTGTTCTACTGAATGGGACTAACTCACATGTGAAAAGTTAACGGTATAAGTGCTTGCAAGATTGGGACCACTCCCCCTTCTTTCTTCAAACTTGTCCTCCACACCTAGCTCTATCATGAATCTGTAAGAAAATAGTCAATTAAGGCTGGACAGAATGAGAGGCAGAGAGCTGGCACCTCCTTTACCTATTTGTAATTATTTTTAAAATCACACTTGTTTTTGCAGTTGGCTGCCCCTGCCTTTCACAGGTCTGCTGCCTGTGGTCTTAGGCTCTGATCCCAAATCCTGCCCCTAGTTAGCAGACCCCTGTGCCCACATGGAGCCCCATTGACTTAAGTGGCACTTTTCACAGGCGTAAAGTGAAGCATGTGCATAAATATTTGCAGGATCAAGGCCTAAGACTAAGTGCTTCAGGCCAAGGGCTGTTTCTTTGTGTGTTTTTGCATAGCACAAGTCCTGAGTGGGGCCTCCAACTGCTACTGCATTGTAAATAATAATTATTATTGTTATGTACAATAGGTATTGGAGTGTTTCTTTTGTCTTCAATTTTTTAATGATAAAAGACTTACTTGTGCTAAGCCTGGCTCCCCCCAGGAACCGGTCATTTGAGCCAAAAGATGCCTGGTTCCAGACGGCCAAGTCCAGACAAGATTGCCGTAGCTGAGATGGGGTCACACCGTCAAAGACAAACAGGTGCTTCCACTGAGGACAGCCTTCTTTCTTCAGGACAGGAGACTTCTGTCTTATCTTACGTTGGTCCGGGAGAGTGAGACAACTTCCAAAAAGGAATAAAATAGATGTTGGGTGAGGTCACTGACCTAAAAGATATTATCTCATCCACCTCGTTACTACTCATTGGAATGCTTTGACTATTAAAGTGAGGCATAAATACGAAATGGTAGTATATTAACACCACTTTTTTTTTTAAATCGTAGGCTTGATCCTCCTCCCATTGAGTCTATTCCCATTAACCTCCAGGGGAGTAAGAATGAGCTCCTGTGGCTCTGTTTGCTGATCCAATTGTCGGGGACCACTGTAGCAGCCTTTGCTTCCCAACAGCAGCTGGTCCTCCAGCCCATCCAGCAATGCCTGCCTAAGAGCAGCATTTTTCTCACTGACAAAACTAAAGAGACCATTCCACCTCTGGTAAGGTGCTCCTATCAGGTACAAGACATATCCTCACTGCAGGTATCCGATATCCTGCCTCCAGCTGTGTACGATGCTTGATTGTAGGAAGGTAAAATGACCCCATAATGCTAACTCTGCAATGCTGCACATGGGAGAAAAATTCCTTCCTGACTCCTGAAGTGATGGAGCAGGAAATGTGATTAGCTCCATCTTAGCTTGCACAGTAAGAACGTGTTAGGAAGGTAATCCAAAACGACGGCAAAGATGACTGTGCATGGGGTACGTGATTCTGTGATATGCCGACTGAACATAACAGAGTTTCACATACAAAACAGAGGGCGTGGCTACACCTGTGAGTTAGAGCGCATTAAAGCAGCCCCGAGCGCCCTAACTCATGACCCGTCCACACTGGCAAGGCACGTAGAGCTCCTGGACTCTGCAGCTGGAGCGCTCCTGGTAATCCACCTCCACCAGAAGCATAAAGCTTGCTGCGCCTCAGCTGAAACACCACAGCATCAGTGTGGACGAGGGGTTGCATTACTGCGCTGTGATTGGCCTCCGAAAATGTCCCATAATCCCCTGAAGTCAAGTGGCCACTCTTCTCATTGTTTTGAACTTGCTGTAGGAATATGGATATGCCCTTTCAAAGCGCCGTTTCTGACAGCCGGCTGCTCATCTCCTCCAGGACAAAGCAAGCATTACTGTGGAATGCTGCTGTTGTGAGTGTGTGTGAGAGAGAGGGGGGAGGGAGGGGAGGTCTGCTGCTGTCTGAACTTACAAGATAGCATGCTGACATACTCTCAGCCCCCCAAAACACACTGTCTCTCCCCTGACATACACACAACTCACTCCTCCCCACCCTCCCCATCTGAAAAGCAAGTTGCAGCCACTTGCATGCTGGGATAGCTACCACAATGCACTGCTCTTTCTGGTGTTGCAAGAGTTGCTAATGTGGCCACGCCACTGTGCTTGAATCTGATAGTGTGGACATGCTGCGCTCTCCGAGGGCTGGTTTAACGCACAGCGCTCTACATCTGCAAGCGTAGCCATGCCCTGCGTGACAGTTTTCACGGAGTGCACCCTTCCAAGTCACCGTGACAAACGCAGGATGGGGGTGGTCTCCAACAGATATGTGTACTTGTCACCTACATCAGTTCCAAACATTCTAAAGAACTCTTCCGAACTGCCTAGAATGAGTAGGATAATAGGTTACCTCTCCCAGTGAGTACGATGCTGTAATTCACTTTGCAACAGCACGGCTCAAAGCATGAATTAAGAAGACAGGAGTGGTTCTCCTCCCTTGTTGTTTGTAATCACATTTCCTAAGTTACAGAGTAGCAGCCGTGTTAGTCTGTATTCGTGAAAAGAAAAGGAGTACTTGTGGCACCTTAGAGACTAACCAATTTATTTGAGCATAAGCTTTCGTGAGCTACAGCTCACTTCATCGGATGCATTCAGTGTTTTCCTTTTACTGCTTCAAAACTTGACATTTAAACACTTTTGCAACTGTGAAAGCAGAGATTAAATCTCAATAACTGGTGGAGTCTCCTCAAATCCTAAATCTGTCTGAACAAGGCCTAAGCGTCAGATTGTGGCCCCTTTCCTTATGCTGGTAAATGCTGCAATCTCAGGAGCTACTTGGGTAAATGCTCACCATCATGAGAAAGGACTCCACAATCTGGCTCCATACTCAGGTGTAATGTCTTTTACTCAAAGATCTACTCCCTGGAATGTGTTTAGCTCATTTTTAGCTCCATGCAGAAGTGGCTGATGGTTTTAAAAGATTCTAAATCTGAAGAGTTAAATCTCAAAAACATACCCTTTAACAAATGAGTTCAAAGTGCCACCACATCTCATCACAGGCAAGTTCTTAGCTCCAAGCACCACAAGGTGAAGCTGGCCATCAGCAGATGCTTGGTCTTCTCTCCCTAAAACAGAAACATTGCTTATAATTAGCGACCAGTGTGGGTAAATGGTTGGCTAGTTAACACAGGGCTAAGGGAAGGAAAGAAAGTCCCTAAGAACTGTTGCCCTGAAGTGAGAAAGTGCAGCGTGTTTGCTGAACTGCAGAGATATTTTAGACAAGAGGAAAGGTTTGAAGACACTTTTACAGTATGTGATTTTAAAAAATGGAGGGAGGGAGGGAGGAAAATCAGTGGCATGATGATGAGGAAGCTTTACCAGGTCCCAAGTGCACCTGCAGAGATCAAGGGAACAATCCACGTCCCGTAGTTTTACTCTGAGGCAGAACCAGCAGCAAGGATAATTGGCACAACCCACAACATGATGCACCTTGCCTCTGTTAGTGTGTGTGTGTTTTTGACAGAGGAGGAACACATAGGTGAGTGTAGAAAGGAGAGAGGAAACAGACAGCATGAGGGAAGAGGAGGAGGACTGAACCAAGAAGGGAATGGTGACTGGGATACAGAGAGAGGAGATGGGGATCCAGGGGACAGAAAGAAATAAAACTAACAACTTACTTGATCTTTCCATTATTTCCTTCCTACCTCTATGTCTAGGACAGGGGTGGCCAACCTGTGGCTCCGGAGCCACATGCGGCTCTTCCGATGTTAATACGCAGCTCTTTGTAGAGGCACCGACTCCAGGGCTGGACCTACCAGTGCCAACTTTCCAATGTGCTGGGGGGTGCTCACTGCTCAACCCCTGGCTCTGCCACAGGCCCTGCCCCCACTCCACCCCTTACCGCCCCCTCCCCTGAGCCTGCTGTGCCCTTGCTCCTCCCCTCTTCCCCCCTCAGAGCCTCTTGCATGCCACGAAACAGCTGATCGAGAGATGCTGGGAGGGAGGGGGAAGCGCTGATTGGCGGGGCTGCTGGTGGGTGAGAGGTGCTGGGCGTGGGGACTGCGGGGAGCTGATGAGGGGCTGCTGACATATTACTGTGGCTCTTTGGCAATGTACATTGGTAAATTCTGGCTCCTTCTCAGGCTCAGGTTGGCCACCCCTGGTCTAGGAGATCTGCTGTAGAAGGCTAACAACAGCCAAAATAGCCACATCTGGAGCTCTGCCCTGCAGTGCTTAGTATTATCCAGTGAGCAAAAGAATGTGAAGCTGTCCCAGTCATCGACCCTCTACAGTTTTTCCTTCCTTCAGCAGTGACTGCACCATTTACAGAAACTGAATCCCAGTTAGAATGCAAAGTTAAACTTAACTCCGCTGAGCGTAGGCGTCGACTTCTGCCGGTGCCAGTGGGTGCTCGACCCCCCTCCCCACCCTGACTCTACCTCTGCCCCGCCCCCATTCCAACCCCTTCCCCAAATCCCCGCCCTGGCCCTGCCTCTTCCCTGACTCCTCCCTTGAGCGCGTCGTGTTCCCGCCCCTCCCCCCTCCCTCCCAGAGCTTGTTACGGCGCGAAACAGCTGTTTTGCGGCGGCAAGCACTGGGAGGTAGGCGGAGAAGCAGGGACGCGGCATGCTCAGGGGAGGGGGAGGAGGCGAAGGCAAGGTGGGGTGGGGGGGTGGGAAGGGGAGTTTGGAGGCCGGTTTCCCCATGGGTGCTCCAGCCCTGGAGCACCCACGGAGTCGGTGCCTATGCCACTGACAGAACAAAAACAGTCTGAAGAGTGCAGTGCTTGTACCTAGCAGACATTTCCCCATCACCCGATTTATCAAAACTGATAGTCTCTAACTCCCGAGGGCTCCTGGAGTGGAATAACTGGCCTGCTACAGCTCAGGAATGAGGTGCACTGGCAGAGATCTGAGGGCACAAGCTTGCTTCAAGAGCATCTGAGTTCACTATGCCAAAGCTACTTTAAGAAGCACATTTATATCTGCTTTTTTGGTGTGAAAAGGAAAAAAATGTGAGACTGACAAGTCTGGAATTCAAATCATTTTACCAAGTTTTTGTTTTACCTTAAAAGGCTTCTAACTATTTACATAAGCATAACACAATACAAGCCACAATATGTAGGGACTATTTACTCAAGCAGGAATACGCCCCTATGCAGGCAGTGTTTATACCCAGATGAACACACAAATACTTTGTTTGTTTCCATGTTTTCATAGCCAGGGTAATTCATACAAGGCTGAAATGCTTTGTACCTCCTTTCGTCTGCTCTTCATACTGGCATTTTTTAGACTGGGATGGTAAGATCAGTTTTGCACACACCAGGAGTTCTCCGTTGTACTGAACCAAGTTGTCTTCAGGTTTTTCAGACTGAAAAAAGAGACACACAAAAGTCTGTATTATTATGATCATCCTATACCACCTCCCCTTCTCCTCATTCTCATTGTTTACCTATATCTGGAACATTCCCGCCCAGATCCTGGTATGGCAGGACTGGCCTGCTACATCAAAATTTCATTCTTCCTCTCCATGATCTAGTAAGGGTGGGCACTGACACAGCTTTCACTATATGCTATTTTTTAAAAACACAAACCTTTTTGAAAATTAAAAATAATAATGATAACCTAAAGTCTAGGAATCACCTTTGCTTTAAGCTGATACCAATTGAATGACTGTGTTGAATTGTCTTCAAAATTCCAAGATGCCAATGGAACAACCACTTCTCCAAGGAACACCCTTCTCTTGAGTGTTTCTGAGTGCCACACAGATATTTGAAGCTGCCGTGTTTCCAGCTGGGAGTAGTCAATCTTATACTAGAAAAAAGATAAATAGCAGTACAGGATTAATGAAAGCACATACACACAAACAAGAGCCAATCACAACACAATCACCAGTCTCCGCTCAAAGGAAGCCAAAGAATGGACTTGCTGAAGCCATGGAGATCTAGACTGAGCAGCATTATTTGAGATGGGACTGGGAAATCTGCATATTGTCTGCCCGCACTATGCTTGTCTCTAGCCAGTGTAATGGCCCCTCACTTCTAAAACATTGTATTCACTCACTTTTAACATTACAAAAATAAAACAGGACCACCTATGTCACTACCTGTGCTGCTAACACCTTAGATTAATAACCTGAATTTAAGAGTTTAAATAACTTTTCACGCTCTTTGCTTACTTTTTGCACCTCACTCAGCTGAGACAGCAATATTGGACAGGCCAATGTCACGTTCTAGTTCTCCAGCACTAGCATAATGCAGTTGTGCTTGGGGCGGCAGCACTGTGCAGATTAATATTTAAAGTGAAGAAAAATAACTTTTACATTGAATTATTTTTAAGAATCACGAAAACAGTTCTCTTCACAGTGGGCCTAATCTTCATTTACTCGACGGCCCTTTGCACTGCTCTGGCCACATAAAGCGCGGTAACTGTAATTTATTGCTGCTTTAAGTCTCTTTACAGGGCCAGAGCAAAGTAAAGAGACCCCAGTATGAATGAGATTTAGGCCCATTCACATTCTGTAAAAACCCACTTTTTATGTTATCAAATCTAACTTTGGATCCTGTTTTCTGGCCGCCTTTTAAGATGTAGGGACAACCTCTCCTGTATGACTGCACACATCTTGAAGAGGCTTGCGCACAATAGAGGCCACCAATTGGAAATTACCTGGCCTATTTACATTTATGGATTGGATGGTGTTTGAGAAAGTGAAATGGTGGATACACTGCCAGAGCTCTAATGCCTCTGTATGCCACCTGTGCACTGTGTTAGAAGTGGGCCAATTCTCAGTGTTAACACAGCCCTGTATCTTTCCTGGAAACAGTCTGTGCCAAAACACACTGATCTGTTCCTTATAACAGGAACTACTGGACTGTCCATTCACATGTTTAAATGAAACAGGCTTATGAAAAGTACTCTAAATACACATACGGGGTAGAGTGAACATGCTGAAGTCATGGATCTTGTCCTGGTAGGGAGCGTCAGCTGAGTAATAGCTGCAGGATTGGGCCCAGAATCTGATTTCTGCATCTCATGTCATGAGGGAGGTCTTGAAGATAACATATTGTCTCATGATTCCCTCACACAGTTTAGAATATTTCCCATTCCCATCCTGTTATTCTCCACTGCAGACTGAGCAAGACCCTATCCTATTTTACTCTGTAATTGTACAACAATAATTAGCAATAATGGCCCATGTGCTTCACCCCCTTCTCTCACTTTGCAGTGTGGAGGGGAATAAATCTGTGCAAAAAGTCACAGTGGAGCCATGCTGAAAGGGAAGTAGCTACGCTGGACACTTCTGCACATAACTATCTTTGCCCTCCTCTGCAAAACCACTCAGAGGCCCAAAGCTGGCATGGCAAGCTGTGAAGGGAGAAGACACCGCAAAATTGTGGTTGATCTGTAGGAAAAGCTTTAGGGAGCATTAACACCGCTGCACCCTCAGTGACTCCCCAGCAGACAAGGGGCACTAGCCGTGCCATACTGCCACGAAAGGGGGTATACGGCAGAGAAGCACAGAGCAGGAGGAGTTCTTCTGCAAAGCTGGCAAGAATCTGGGACTTCAGAGTCCAAATCTAGGGCTTTCCTCTGCCTTTTGAGATCCTCCCCCACCATCACCCACTCCACACCCCGGCTGGTTCTGTGGACTCAGGGGAGGAGCAAATGCTACAGCTTTATTAGAGTCAAGGAGTCTGGGCATTAATCTTTCCCTTCCCATGCAAATGATCAGATTCCATTGGGGCATTTACTATCTTGCACATCATTGCAGTCCCTCAGCTACACACAGAAGGTGAGGTCTAATGGCCTTAGTACAGGGTGGGAGGTAAGAACAGCTGAGTTCTAATCCCAGCTCTGTCTGTAACTCACTGCAGCCTTAGCAAGTCATTCAAACTCAGCTTCCCCCTCAGTCAAATTGGGATAACAACACTTACGGACTGCACAGAGGTGCTGTAAGGATTCATAAAATAATGCTGTAAAGCACTTTGAAAATGAAAAATTACAGCCACCCTTACTCTACTGTGATGATTAATGTGTTGTAAATGAACAAGTCCAAACACTGGTGAATGAGACATCAATTGTGGTGGGGAAGAAAAAGGAGGAAACTAACACTTTGGATCTATCACTCCTTTGAGCACAATAGGAATGAATGGAATAGCTATGATTCATGTAGCAAATTGCAAAGAGACACTCCCTTTGACACTCACAAAAGAGATGTTAGTTCAAACAGATAACAGTACAAAGTACTAATTTTCCTTTGTAATATACACAATTAGTCTATGTAACCATAAAAAGATATGAGAGTTTCCTTTTACCACATTTCCGATCTCTTTAGCCAGAAACTGCAACAGAATTCGGTCAACTTTATGTTTTCTATGGACAAAGCCAGATGTTCCTTTTTTTTGCCAGCTTCCAACTTATTAATAGAGCTGTACAGAAATGTACAAGAGGTTGCTTTTATTCTGATTGGCATCCATCATTAGTTAATGGTTAAGTTCACTTTGACCCATAGAACTGAAGGGTGTGGCACAATCCTAAAAGCCCTCACACAGGGCTCTTCAAAGTCAAAGGGAGTTCTGTTCACAGAGAGCTTGTAGGATTGGGCACAAGAAGTGGAGACTTTGCTATGCATGTGAGAGATCTTTCCAGGTCACAAATGTTTACAAGTCACCTTTAAAGTTTCATGGAATGCTGGATCCACTGTGTTCTTTTTAACAGCTGTCTTCCGTTTACTCCGAGATGATTTATCGGGAAGCAAATAAGTCTTTGCATACCTTACAATTACAGAGAGGGATGGGGGAGAGTGCAAAATTTAGGACAGTTCAAACTGAGAAAGAAAAGGAAGGAAATAAAGCAGCATGTTCCCCACTCTCTAATCCTTGGCACATTCTTAATTTTTCCAGGGTATATTCAGTGCTGGTTAACGGTGCCAAATTCAGACTATCTGAAGCCTGACAACCTCAATTTATCAACAGAATGGACAGATGCAGTGCAGTGTTGCCCCATACTGGCCAGTTGGTGTGTTACAATCCTATCCTGATCATCTCTAAGAGTTAGAGGGCAGGTCAGTTTCCATGATCTCTCAGTCATTGGTCTCTGCTAAAGGGGCCTTGGGCTGGCTATGGGGTGGGGGGATGACAGCGCTGCCCTTACCACGGGACCCTGGGTGGTCATCCACCCATAAGGCTAGCTCTGCTCACACCCCAAAAAATGATGATCACCTCCCATACCATGTGACCCTCATGTCTGCACTGCACACTGCCCTCTGGCTGCCCAACTCTAAAGACAGTGCCTCTATCACAAACAACGCAGAAGTAAGGGTGGCAATTCTGCGACCCCCCTACAATAGCCTTGCAACCATCACCACAACCCTCTTTTGGGTCGGGACCCCCATGGTTATAACATCCTGACATTTCAGATGTAAATATCTGAAACTCTGAAACTGACAATTTAAAAATCCCATAACCATGAAATAGACCAAAATGGACAGTGAATTTGATAAGGCCCCTGCCACATAAGTAACTCACATTAAGCAATATTATCTCTTAATCAGAATTCTATGGACTGACAGTGGTCTACACCATGGAGTATGAGTCCAGAGCCAAAGATGATTGATGGCATTATGGATGCCCATTATCTGCTCGTAGGGCCTGTGGTGAAGGAGACAAATTCTACCAGAACATTCTTTAAAAATGTAGTATTTTATATTTAATATAACAGTATATAACTGTTAAACCGATCTGGGTTAAATTCTGGGGAAACTGAAGATCAGATGTAGCTTTCAGCAGCAACGCACTGCTTCCCTGTGCTTCCCAAGCCCCTTTGTACTGTGTGTGTTTTAAAAGCCTTTTCAGCAACAGGGAGTCATGCAAACCAACCAGCCATAGCTCAAACCAGCCAACAAGCTGACAGTTTTGACAGGTTGCTAGCATAAGTGTTGGAAACAACACCTACCCCAGCCAACTTTTGTGTCAAGTGTTCTAACTGTAAACAATGCCTGTACTTTTTCCTACTGGCTGAGACACAGCACTCTGTACACCAAATACAGAATGTAATGTTCACTACTACATGGAACTTCCCACACTATGCTCTCAGTTTTTTTGTGATTTGTATGCTGGCTACGCCATCAGGAAACTCAAGGGTTATTCAGTCACTTATTAAATATTCTCTAACTGTGCCATGGCATTAGCTGGCATTCCAACAAGGATCCTTTTATTAGAGTTCAGTTTTAGGATCCTCCTCTGCAAGAGACTCAATGCCAAATTCTTCCTGGTAGAATCTAAGCACAACTCTGGAATTCCAGCATGCTTATTGTTGGCCCAGCTGATCCAAATGCATTCAAACAATGTATTACAGTAGGGTCAAGCACTAACCATACAGCTGGACATTCTGCCTGATGAATTCCCATGAATGACTTCTGCCATGAAAAGACAGACAGAATCATTCATAACCAAAACAATAACCAGAGAGGAGACACTGGGTTAAACGTTCCAACATTAGCACCTACATTGCAAACAAAAAACACAAAGGCACCTTTCATACACAGAAATGGGTACTGTTAGCACAGTTAATATTTATATATTATATTTTGCAATTATCATTAGCTGTCATAGCATTTTACAAAAGCAGAGATTCGTATTCTCATTTCATAGCTGAAGATGACAAGGACAGACATGTTAAATAACTTGCCCAGTGTCATGCAGTGAGTCAGTCAGGCATGGAACATAGATCTCCCAACTTTCTGCCTCATGCCGGAACCACTAGACAATGAGTGTACAGGCATGTTTTACAGGCACAACTTAAGTGCTAACGGTCTGACATCTGGCCCTATGTGTAAGTTGATATGTGTATAGTACACAGTGGCAAGTCAGACACACACATATGTACTATCTTAAAAAACTGAACACCTTGTTTTTGGCCTTTTTTTTTTTTTTTTTTACATCAAAACACTTACGGGTTACACTTTTTCTTCTTCTCTTCTCCATAAGCCAGGTTCTTGCAGGCCTTGATGCAGACTTCTAAAGTGCAGGCTTTAAAGACGTATCTGATGGCAAACTCTATTTCTCCTGTGACATTAGCCATGTCAAAATTGCCAGCCTCGGTGCAAGTGCTGTTAATGCTATATAAACTACCCTAAGAAAAGACAAGGATTAAAAAAAGTGAGCTCAAATCCAGTAAGATAAAATAGTTTTTCTCCCTCAAATCTTAATATCTTTGCATCAAACTGACTGCTAAAGTCACAGCAAACAACTCAGAACCAACACAATACGTGCATAAAGCTATTTCTTCACTTGCCATACTAGACCTTAAATTCCGTTGAAATTCTACCAGATCTTCATTTTTCTATACAGAATTAACCATCTTTATATAGTAAACTCCATGAGGTAAGGGCAGTGTCTTCCTCTGTCCTTGAAACATGGCTGAGCATAACTATCCTATAGGCACCCACTGTATGAGACCATATCTCTATCTTGAAGTTGACTCCCCCAAAAATTAGTGTGTGACCAAAAAGAGGATTTTTTAAAAAGCATGTGACAGGAACAATATGGATACTGGATTGACCAGCACCCACTGATGTCAAAGGCCAAAGTCCCAAACATCTAAAAATGTACAGCCAGACTGTGTTTGTAGTATACAGCCCATAGTATGGGGCAGTGCTGAAGTACACAGCCCTGGAAAGAGCCTCAGGAAGTGTTGTAGGAAACAAAAGAGAGTCACTTATTAAACATTCCCTAGGGCTCCCCAGTGGCATATTTAAAGGGAATAGCATACTTTTCCTGCATAGCCAGCCATCACTGGGTACCAGTGCACAGGGGAGGTGGACCCCTGGCTCCACTCTTCCTTGCCCACTCTTTATCCTCCTTGGGGGGAAGGTTCTGGGGTGCAGCCCCTGTGCTCCCCCAAGCGCCTGGACAGCACTTGTGGCCAGTCCTTACACAGGCCCTGAAGGTAGGGTGAAGAAGGAGGCTTTACTCCCTTCTGTGCCTCAGTGCAGCCACATAACTGCAGGGGGCAATCTAGCTCTCCATGTATTGAACTATGTATTTAATCAAGACAGTTCTGGTCTCTCCTCTCCATTTTTGTTTAACAATAGGCTTGAATGTGAGTGCTTCAGGGTTTCCTTTTAAGTACTATTACTTTGCAAACTGGACACCATCAAATTAGGCCTGAATCAAGACTGGGAGTGGTTGGGTCATTACAAAACCTAAACCTATTTTTCCCCATACTAATTTCCCCCCACTGTTACTCGCACCTTCTTGTCAACTGTTTGAAATGGGCCACTCTCATTACCACTACAAAAGTTATTTTTCCTTCCTTGGTATCCTGATGTTAATTGAATTGTCTCATTAGACTGACCTCACACTTGGTAAGGCAACTCCCATCTTTTCATGTATTTATACCTGCTCCTGTATTTTGCACTCCGTGCATCTGATGAAGTGGGTTCTAGCCCACGAAAGCTTATGCCCAAATAAATCTGTCAGTCTCAAAGGTGCCACAAGGACTCCTCGTTGTTTCTATTACTAGCAAGTGTGTCTTCAAGATCTTGTTATTACAGCAATCTCTTCTGACACTAACACCTTCACAGAATGCAATGTCATCAGTATTTGACATCCCTCCCTCTGAAAAAACAGTCCAGTCCTATTCTACACTCCCACCCCAGCTTAGTTAACCAAGGAGTTCTTACTTTGCGTGCCTTAGCAGCTAACAAAACAGGCTAATGATTAGAATAGACTGTATCTCTCTGCGCTGCAGTTATTTTTAATTTGTGCAGTTTGCCAAGCAACCATTTCAAAATTCACAACATCTTTGACTGAAGTCAAAGAAGTCACCCTCTCTACCTTATAAGTTCCAAGTAACACACATTGCTTTTTTGGCCTGAGGGTGGAAAGAGAAGTCCTGACAGGAGCTAGGGTTACATTTTGAACTGATGTACAGCTCATGTAATCCAGCTGACCTCACAGGATGTAGGCCAGAGCAGCAACTAATCTCTGATGCAGTTTTCTTAAATTCTACTCACCCCTTCACCATAAGGAAGTAAATTATTTGACAGCTAAGTAAAAAACATGTTCATTTTTCACTATCACTCATCATAGGGAGGGAAGGCAAGTAGATTTAGTGCCTCCGCTGATAGATTTTAATGACAGTTTTGCAAAGCTGCCCTACTGTTTAGTTCATTGAACCTCTTATTTATTCAGAGGAACTGTATGCTTATTCCAAACAGTGCTTCTCAGGTTGGGTAGCATTATGTGTTCCTTGTTTTCAGTGTGTAGTGGCTTTAGCAGGGGTCAGATCCTCAGACGAAAGCGGGCATTGTAAACATTTAACAAGGAAATACCGCGTCCATTTGGTCCTCCCTCATAATAAATTAACAATGACTTCCTGTACTCAAGCCCAGCTGGCAGAAGTTGGAGCGACACCATCTCTTAGGTTAAATGATAGATTTTGATGAATCAATGATCAGCATCACAGAACTCCCCCATAAAGACGGTGCTTGATAAAGCTGGGCCTCCCCTTTGACAATACAGCAGGCGATATTTCACTGTTTAGACTGGGCTGTCCACAGTGCAGCCACTGGAGTCCCAGAATGCATCCTGCAACTGCCCTCCAATCCACTGCAAGCTAGGTTGTAACGGGCTTGACATGGATGCAAGGTCGGAATGATGCTAGGATGCACAACCCCCCTCCGAGATTCTCCAGGGCAGTGGGGCAAGTACATCTCCATACTATTCTCCAACATAGAGCTGTGCCTTATGGGCACAAACTAGCCCTATATTTCAGATACAGAGGTATGACTCATGGAGACAAGGGTTTCTAACAGGAGAGACCTCAAGTCCACTCTTCCATTCTGAAGGCTTTGTCCCTGGTCTCTGGTTGTTTCATCATTACTGGGGTATTTATCCATCAATAAATATCTATTCATGTTTGAAGGAATATATAATTATAAGCAATGATTAGGGTTATGTTCATTTATTTTTTGGTAAGAAATACAAGTTAAGTAAACCCCTTATATCAACGGGGTTTGTAACTGTTTTTTCCCCACACCTTGTCCCATCACTCAAAAAAAATAATCATGTTCTACAAGGAAAAGGAGGAATACAGGCAGATCACTATCCATTCAGAAGTCATCTCTGCTAACTGCATCACAGTTATGACCTATGTTAAGAGGAAATTTATGGCAACTCAGATACAACTGTGCGGTGAACTGTTGGCAAACACCGAGGGCCTGACTGTCCACCGCCTTGCACTTTGTGTAGTTATTCACACCTCTGAAAAGCAGGTGTAAAATTATCTCATCGTTCTGTCACTAAAAAGCAGGAGGCTGGTTCAATTACGTTTGGCCCCTAAGAGCCATTTTAGTTTCCTTCCTTCTTAACTCCAGCTCTGAAATTCCTAGACACTGCATACCTATTGTGCCCTGACAATTCCTGTCAAGTCATTTATAACATACTGAAAGCATTACCCTCAGTGACATACAGTTAACATAACAGCTAATCAAAGAGACTTTAAAACCCTTGTTGAATTAACTTCTGATTGGTTTTCTTCTCTCCCTTCTGGCTAAGATCAAGTGCAGTATCTGATGTGTCATCAGTTAGGGGACTATATTTTGTAGAAAATGTCAATGATTTAGAAAGGCTTTTCCATCCATAATGATTATGATCGCCTTTGCACTTCAGTGTTTTTGTCCTTTTCTATAAACCGTTCTCAGTGAAGAGAATGAGGCAGCTGAGTTTGCACACCTTAGAGGACATTAACTAAACTTCAATTAACCTGAGGTTTCAGCTAACTGCCATTCATTCAGCTGTATTTATGCTGCAGTAAATTTATAACACTGCTATAAGGACCATGCCAAGGACAGACAGTCTTTCCCTGATCTGAACGAAAGTAGAATTCTCTTCTTATTTCTGAGCATAATCCATGACACATGCTATATTGAACAAGCTTTTAACTCCTACCCTTCAGTCCATTTTACACCACTGTTCTATTCTGCTTCATCTTGCATTGACACTTACGTGTTTTTTGCCACCACAGAATACAGTGTCACTTCTGGGACTGGTTGAAATGTCTTCTCCCTGCTTGTAATACCTTTTGGTAAAAACGTCATTGTTGTCCAACGCCCCATTGATGATTTGCTGAAAGCTCGGTATATTTTTTATCTGTAAGAGACGTAGCACTGAACTTCCATTCATTTGTTTTGTTAAGTCAAGTGCCCGGTGTTTCCTGCCCTCCTCCCCCTTGTGTTCTGCCACATAAATATACGGTCCATACCTACAATTCACATATGGGTGTGTCTATTTTGGGACACTGTTTGACTAAGGAAAAGGTCTATAACTACATTTTATTTGTAGACACACTGGTTGATCCATTGCTGCTCCACCCGGTCCATAGTATACCCCATATCTTGTGTGGTGGACATGCCATTATCCACCATATGATGACTGCTAACATGTCAACTACAATTAAAGGTAATTACTGTAGCAGTGTATTAATAAAAGGCTTCATTAGGACAACTCCACCCCCACCCCCAAAATCCTGGCAGTTTGCCAAAAGAACTCTTCCTCCAGGAAATTACAAATTGTATGCTGCAGCAGATATGGCATATGCCTGTCTCCACCTATATGAAGAAAGACCGGAATGAACGTAACTTGAACGTGTTCTACAAGGATGGAGTGACAAGTCTTACTTTAGCCATGACTCCAGAGAAAGGCTGAACATTCAATGTTTGTTTAACTGTAACTTTGCTATAGTCCAGAATGAGGGAGTTCCAAGCAGCACATCTTTAAATTCCACTCCCCACACGAAAATTCTGACTGTGTGGGCAAAATTAAGAGATGAGGTAGGATTCCTCAGGGTCTCCTGTCCATCTGCCTCTGTTCTTCCAAGAAAATACAGTCTGTGAAACACACTTCATCAAGGGAATGGGCGGGGGGAGGGAAACAGCAGTAGGAAAGAAGGAAAAGATCACTTTGGATTAAATATTTGTTTGAAGAAACACTTTAGTGGAGTTTACTACCAAAGGACTAGTGAGAATATTCCTGCCTGAATGAACCAACAACATTAGTGAGAATTATTTGCACACAGGGAGGGGATAACATGCCCTTAATAAACACAGGGATTTCCTGTACTACTAGTAGAAAGACCTACAAAAATGGCCATTGATGAAGATGAAATGGTGAGATTAATTTGAAAACAGACCTCATTCTGAACACCAGGTTATGCACAATCCAAGCCATTATACTTCTCTACCGCGCTAAATACAAAACAATCATAAAGATGATGGATAGGGCAATGTTAATACCAGTGCTAAGGTTAGAAAAGCACATACACCTCTACCCCAATATAACGCTGTCCCCGGGAGCCAAAAAATCTTACCGCGTTATATCGAACTTGCTTTGATCCACCAGAGTGCGCAGCCCCACTCCCCCAGAGCAGTGCTTTATCGCATTATATCCGAATTTGTGTTATATCGGGTTGCGTTATATCGGGGTAGAGGTGTAAAAAAGGGACAAAATCAGAAAGGCTGAGGCACAAAGTGAGTTACACCTAGCAAGGGACATAAAAGGCAATAAGAAGTAGTTCTTTAAATAGGTTATGAGCAAGAGAAAGATGAAGGCCAGTGTAGGTCCTCTACTTAGTGAGGAAGGAGAGCTAATAACGGATGACAACAAGAAGGCTGAGGTGTTGGTGCCTATTTTGCTTCAGTCTTCATCAGTCAGCCTAACTTTGATGCCTGGAAAGATACTGGGACAAACTAACAAGAGTAAAAATAAATTTTTACTGCTTTATGTCATCAAAGCAAGGAGGCATGTCTGAGAATACATAGGGATCAGATCTGTTGAGTAAGAAGGTGCCATTTTGATAGTCACTCTTCAGCATAGAACTGCACTTTTAAGATCACTTTAAGAGTTCTGGCAGAGAGAATGCAAACAGTGTGATCGGGGGAAAAAAGAAAGGCGGTAACCTGGTTTACAAAGATAAAAAGAAACTAGGAAACCACAGAGGGAATAACAGATGAGGCATTTGATAAAGATTAACAAACAGGCTACACAGTGAAGTGTAAGAACTGATGGACACTGCCACTAGAACTATCAAAAGGAAGACAAAGATCAGAACTAGAGATAATGCTAGGAAAAAGTAAGACAGGGGCACAACAGCTCACAGAGATTAAAAGTAAATTTAGGGATCACACAGCATGAATGCTCAGAGCCATAAAATAGGGGTGGGGAAAAAGGTGTGAGTAAAAACTTCAACCAGAAATAGAAAATCTAGATTGCAATCATGACATCCAAAATAGAAGATCAACCAAAACTTCACCCAAATCAGCCAAAACTTCAACAGAGGCTTGGGTTTTTCAGTTAGAGGGACATTAGAAATTCCTGTTCTCCAAGAGCAGAGCTCCGACAACAGAATCAAGAAAAATGTTACCTTTCTATATCCCTAATACAAAGTGCTGACGTACCTTATCACCCTAAAACCTTTAGAATTTATAGCCAATTACAAAATCCAGACATATTGTTTGGCAAACATATCACTGGGAGATTTCAAACTATAGAGACCTCATTCATCTATAAAACACAATAGGATGTGTGTTTAATGTGCAATGAAAGCATGGTTAGGGTGTGTAGAGAATGTCAGTATATAAACTCCTTCCTTATTGCTTCTCAGTGTAGTGAAACACAGCAATGATTTTCCAGTGAAACCAGATAGATGAGGAAACACTGGGGATGTGGTTGGTCACACACAACTGGCATAGAACTAAAAGGAAGCACTGCGGTGATTAACCTATCTATATTTTTCCATAATATTTATAATATAATTTCAATGCATCCCATAAAAATAAACACCACAGAGATAATTTGCTTCATTTTCTAAACTACTTAGGATTTGCTGTACCAGGTCAGATCATTGGTGCATTAAGTCTGGCATTCTGACACCGACACCAGCCAATTCCCGATGCTTTAGTGCAGGGGTGGCCAACCTGTGGCTCCAGAGCCACATGTGGCTCTTCAGAAGTTAATATGCAGCTCCTTGTATAGGTACTGACTCCAGGGCTGAAGCTACAGGTGCCAACTTTCCAATGTGTCAGGAGGTGCTCACTGCTCAACCCCTGGCTCTGCCACAGGCCCTGCCCCTATTCCACCCCTTCCCGCCCCCTCCCCTGAGCCAGCCGTGCCCTCACTCCTTCCCCTCCCCCTCAGAGCCTCCTGCACGCCACGAAACAGCTGATCAGGAAGTGCAGGGAGGAAGAGGTAGGCATTGATCGGGGAGGCTGCCGGTGGGTGGGAGGCACTGGGAGGGGGATTGGGGAGCTGATGGGGGGCTGCTGACATATTACTGTGGCTCTCCTCAGCAAATTGCCCAACAAGTCCCAGGAATGGCGTGGAAGAGACATAGTTCAGTCTCCTCTGTATCAGTAGCGGATGAAGGAGGGCCAGCAGATGGACTGGGAGAGTAATCGGAGCAGCCTATTGGCTAGTGTAGAGTGTGTACCAAGCAGCCCCAGGAGAGCTTGTGAGCTACATGCACTCCTGGTGTTCCCTGTTGGAGCAAGGTGGCTCCATGCAAACTAGCCCTTAGCTTTGAGCTAAGACTAAGGCTGGAGAATTTCAGCCAAAAAGAAGAATTACTGGAAGAGTTAAAAAAGGAGGAGATCCAGTGGCCATCTCAAAGTAACCTTAACTAGCTTCCACTACTCTAATAAAGCCAGTACTGTATCACGACAATCATCAGTCCTCTAATCATATTCCAATCACAAAACAGCCCTTAAAACTATAATGACTATGTATAATGAATTGCATACCCTGTTTGCAATATCGATGGCAGTGTCAGACTGACTCCTCCTTTCCTTCCTCCGTTCCATGTCCTGCCCATAATCTGTAGTTAGGAGACTTTTGTCAGCCCTCATATCATTCTGGGACTTTGAGATTTCTAAAATGAATACAAGGAAAGAGGGGCACATTTATAATGAACATTGTCAGCAAATCTGGAGATGTAGGAAGCTAATCCTATGCCTTTCAGATCTTTTAGATTACAGAACTACTATTGATTACCTGAGAAAAAGAAACAGATGGGAAAGCAAGTACCTGTCCCATTTTGTGTAACTGCATTCTGCCTACCTAAATTCCCCTTGCAGTCTCAACTGGAAAAGATATTCTTCACTCCTTGTTCTCAGCTACCGTGTATTTTTGCTGTATGCTATCAAACAGAGTTTCATCGCAGAGGTGCCTGCATTTCAGAAGCGGGTAAGAGGATGATCCCTACATATAGTTTAGATATTGATCTGTAAAGTGCTTTGAGTTCCTTTGGGATAAAAGGCACTACACAAATGCAATACCATTATGATCATTTACGGGAGTGCTACAGTGGAAATTAGGAAAATGGGGAGTCAATTAAAATGGATACAAAATATGGAAGAAAGTGGAAACATTTTATATTCAGGCCCCAGACCAGCACAAATGTAACCACATGCATGATTTTAAGGATGTAAGTACCCCCACTGACTTCAAGGGAGGAGGAGTCTCATTAGAAAGAATTCAGAGTGGTAGCCATGTTAGTCTGTATCACCAAAAACAAGGAGGACTCCTCATTAGAAAGGCGTGATTAAGAGGAAAGATGACAGAAAGGAGGCAAGAGACTAGTGCCAAGTTACTCGGGTCTAGTTTCATTTTATAATCCTTGGGATAAGGATACTACTCTAGCCATGAGGGACAAAATTTACAACTGCGCCCAGTCTGTGCAGCAGGCAATGGATTAGTAAAAATATATGCAAACAGTGGGGTCTCTGGTCTTCATAAGGGTCGGAGCTTGTTCTCTTCTGGCTACTGCTCTCTTTTGTTATGCACCCGGGGCCAAATTCTGCCCTCCAGTAGGTGCAGGTTGTTCCATATACGTATCCAAAGCCTAAACTTGCACTCTAAAATTACTGAAGAAGAGAGAATAGCAATAAGTCAAAGAGGAAAATGAGAAGGACAAAGAATATCAGGATTAAAGATGGACTGACGGGAGAGGATGACTTTTAAAAACACATACACTGACAGGAAGATAGAATGAGGGAGAAAAGGAAGGGAGAGGTTTTTTAAAAAAACTGAGAGGAAAGAGAAAGACAATACTAAATCCCTCCTTCTGAGAGTGATCAAAAAAGGGCAATCTGTGACAAGTTCACTTGGGGAGGGGAAGATGGAGAATACAGTGGTTACCACAATAGAAAGTTGGCATATTCCACGCCACAATAGTTGAGTTTGCTGCAGTATTTTCAGGTTTTATCTCCACATATCTGAACTGTTGCATTTGTTTAAAAAAAACCTCACCTTCATATATAGTCTTTTTGCTACTTAGCAAGAAAAGAGAGAGTGCTCAGCTGGGATCATCAGTTGCTCAGCTTGTTAAAAAAATCTGAGGGAATTCTGATGGAAAATGAGACATGCCTTATAAATATTTGTTGGCCTTAGCAGCAGTCACTAACAGACCCTTCACTTGTAACCACTTGTGGCTCAAATTTAAATGGCAAAGCACTGAAGGATACTTACTTTTCATATTTGTGGCAAGAGATAGAAACAAGTTTTCCACAGACTTATTAAAACTTTTAGATTGGCTGATTTCCTGCAATTGAGAGAAAAAAAAATTAAGAGATAAAATAAAGAACTGTGTTTTCAAAGCTTCCCATGTTCACGCGCCTTTAAAAATTGCAAAAATAGCATATGTGTAAGATTGCCCAGGGCTATCATTTCTGTAGCATTTATAAGCACATATTTTTGTACTACATGTAAATATTAGCACCAAAGTATCTGGTTGGGGAAGGGGGTGGCTCTTTCAACTGAGTTCTTTTGCACTACCAGCAGAAAACTCTCCAGGAAATTTCTATATTGCTTTCATAAATATAAACAAATGACATAGCTGATTATTTTTTTATAATACTGTTTGCGTTTACATTAAGGTAAGAAAGAGTCTGGCAGTCTGGATTCAGAGGATCCTCACAAGGATTGGAAGTAGAGCTAGTGAAAATTTTTCATCAAAATCAATGGGATTTAAGCATATGTATAAAATTAAAGATGTGCTTAAGTGCTTTCCTGAGCAGGGAAGGGCTGCTGAATTAGGGCACCAGAGCCTAATCCAGAGCCCTATGAAGTCAATGGTAGTCTTCCAATTTATTTCAATGGATTTTAGATCCGATCCTAATAATCCACCTGCTAGAAACTGTGATGAAATTGTAACCACCAAAATCATTCTGCTCTTCACTCATTTATACAAACACCACATGCAAAGTTTTCATTACAAATGGCTACATAACATGCACTAAAAAGTTGGTGACTAATCTAATATGTCCCTAAGAGACCAACTCCTCAGAAAAAGGAACGAGACAAAGGAAATAAAAGCATCATTTATATAGCAACAAATTCCTAAACAATATTACAAGTTGTTGCTATTTGCTACACTTCTGCGGCTGGCCGTTTCCACTGAAAGAGCTCTTAAATATCTGCACATATATACATTACCATTGCAGTGTTTCCCTTAGTGGTTTCCGTGAAAGGAGGGGGAGTAGGAGGAACCACAGAAATTTTACTAGGAAGTTAGGAGAAAAGAAACAATTAACATATTTTTCACAAGGCTCTAATATCTACAGCTTTCCCAACCTCTTTCTTTGTTTCTTCTCTTTCCTCAGAGGAGCCACCTCTCTCCTGCAACCTAAAGATCTTGGATGAGTCTGTGCTACGCTTCTTACAGGCTCAGCAAAGAACTTGCAGCCACAGGAGTGAGGGCTAAAGTGGCTTTGCACCCTCCTGATCCTTAGCTGCTCCAGCCAGTATAATTTAGACTGACCTGAGGGCCTATTTAAGTCACTGCAGCCTCCTTGGGCTGCCCTATGGTCACCAGTGCATACTATACCCCCACCCCACCCCACCCCGCCCTACCCTGCTGACTCCAGCGTGCATGCATCTTCCTGCCATCAATATCAGCAAATGTTGCCCATTTTTTCATGTTCTCTGTGTAGATATATCTTCCTACTGTATTTTCCACTGCACGCATCCGATGAAGTGGGTTTTAGTTTACGAAAGCTTATGCCCAAATAAATTTGTTAGTCTCTAAAGTGCCACAAGTACTCCTGAGTTTTTTTGCTGATACAGACTAACACAGCTACCACTCTGAAACCTGCCATCTACACCAGTTTGTGAGAGGATCCTCAGAAATCAGCCTTATGGCCGTCTTCCATGGTTCCTGTGCTGGAGGGATTCACCCTGGCTGGAACTGGGGCTTTTAGAGCACTTTTATTCTACCCCAACCCCTTCATGCAGCATAAAAGGGCCAGATCAGGGGCAATGATCTGCCCCTTGATCCTGTACTCTTAACACAATCAAAACCTCCAATGCAGACAGTGCACTTCCCCGTGCTTCTACTCTGTTCTATCTAGATACTTATATGATCATCCTCACCATTGTATCCGACCATCCACAGGTTCTCTGGTGATGGACCTATGCCCCACCAGAAAGCCTCAGTTTGGTCTATGATTTGTATCTATTCTTATTTACTCATTTTTAAAGGAACAAGATTCCTTTAACAGAATATACACTGCTTACACTTAGGTGCACCGTGACAAATAGGGACCTTCCTGTCTTATATTTACTTAAAAAATAACAATAGGCAAAATCTCCAGTCAGTTAACTGCATGTTTGTACCACTACTGTTTTTCCTGCAATGATTTTCAACCGACATCATTTACACAGAGCCTGTAAATGTGAAAAGCACTGGAGAAAAAGTTTACAGCAAAATACTGTATGCTTCCCTGAATTTCCAATAAGCTAAAGCAAGGAAACTGTCCAGCTAAAAGTAGGATTCTTTCTACTCTTTCTATAGAATGTACAAAGCCAAAAAGAGTGGCAATCTTTCTATAGTACTCTAATTGCATTCCAAACTTTTTTAAATCTTGAGATTTGCCGTCTTGGTAATCAGAAAACTTAAGCAGCAAGCTATTTGGTATTATAAAATATGTTCATTGTATTGTAGTCTCAGTGCCCTAGGACAATTTGTCCTTCTACAAGTCTTACCTCAGTTTTTGATAAGATTTCAAGAGCTTTGCACCAGCTGTTTCGTGTCTACCTATGAAGCAAGAAAATAATGTAGAGGTCATTTTGTAGCAATAACAGTAATCAGCACTTAGATAACAATTTTCAGAATCAAGGTGCTTTCAGGCACCGGACTTAATATATAAAAGCTCGAGAGGATGTAAATCACTATAGGTGAAATTAAACCAAGTGCAACAGACCACCGCAAGCCCTAAGCACCACTTAAATCTCACCTAAGCCAAAAACTGTTTTATTAGCTTACCTCACCCTCTCTTCAGAGGTAGTTTGGCAAGACTAAAGATGCTAATAATAGAAGTGTAGGACTGCAAGGGACCTCAAGAGGTCATCTAGTCCAGTCCCCTGAACTCAAGGAAGGACTGTGTAATAACTAGATCATTTCTGAATGGTGATTGTCTAACCTGTTCTTAAAAACCTCCAATGCCGTAGATTCCACAACCTCTGCAGGCAATTTGTTTCAGTGCTTAATTACCCAGACAGGAAGTTTTTCCTAATGTCAAATCTAAACCTCCCTTGCTGCAATTTAAACCCATCGCTTCTTGTCCTATCCTCAGACGTTAACGAGAACAATTTTTCTCCCTCCTCCTTGTAACAACCTTTTATGTACTTGAAAACTGTTATCATGTCCCCCCTCAGTCGTCTCTTCTCCAGACTTAACAAACCCAATTTTTTCTATCTTTCCACACAGGTCATGTTTTCTAGACCTTTACTCATTTTTGTTTCTCTTCTCTGGACTTTCTCCAATTTGTCCAGATCTTTCCTGAAATATGGTGCCCAGAACCGGACATGATACTCCTGTTGAGGTCTTATCAGCACAGAGTAGCGTGGAATAACTAATTCTCATGTCTTGCTTACAACACTCCTGCTAATACATCCTAGAATGATGTTTCCTATTGACTCATATTTATCTTGCAATCCACTACAACTCCCAGATCCCTTTCCACGGTACTCCTTCCTAGGCAGTTATTTCCCATTTTGTACATGTGCAATTGATTGTTTCTTCCTTAGTGCATTTGTCCTTATTGAATTTCAGACTATTTACTTCAGAACATTTCTCCAGTTTGTTCAGATCATTTTGAATGTTTATCCTATCCTGCAAAGCATTCGCAACCCATTGCAGCTTGGTATCATCCGCAACTTTTATAAGTGTATGCTCTATGCCCATTATCTATATCATTTATGAAGATATTGAACAGAACCAGACCCCGGACTGATCCCTGCAGGACCCCACTTGATATGCATTTCCAGCTTGACTGTGAAAAACCTCTCATAAATACAGAAAAGTAATCTTATCTGATTCCCAGATACTGGGCCTATCTATCTAAGATACTTATATGTATATATATATCACCATAATATCTGAGTACTTTACAACATTTTAATGTATTTATCCTCACACTCTTACATGGTAGAGAAGTACCATTATCCCCATTTTACAGAAGGGGAACTGAGGGCAGGTCTTCACTTAAAATGTAGAATCAGCGCTTAAATGAAGATGCTCCTTCACCAACAGGAGACAGCTCTCCCACCAGTGTAATTAATCCACCTCTCCGAGAGGCAGTAGTTATGTCATACCCCTGAGAAATGTAGTTCTACTAACATAAATCTGCAGTATAGATCTGGCCTGAGGCACAGATCTAAGTGACTTGCCAAAGGTCACACAGGAAGTCTATGGCAGAGCAGGGAATAGAACCAGGGTCTCCAAGTCCGAGGCTAACCAATACAAGACAATCCTTCTTCTCTAGGGTGCTAAGTGGAGGTAAATGGGACCTGAGTAGTGCATAGGTGTTGTGCTGACCCACTGTACAGAAGTAAATATGATCTATAAAACATAAACACTGTGAAAAGTAGTGCAAATGAACAGACAGAAAAGTAATACTCATGGAAGCACTTTCAATGTGATTTTGAAAAGGTCTTTTCATTTTTCACACAATACATTTGAACAATTATGAATATGCACCAATGACTCACAAACAAAAAAGAGACTGTGTATAAAGCTTGGGTCATCCAATCAGGGAGCAGAAACAATGACATGACTTAGATGACCAATCACAAGTCTTTAAGAACAACAATCATAAGTGCTTTATCAATCACGAACAATTAGAGTCATAAAAATCACAAACAGACAAAAGTTGTAAACTAAAATAATTTAATAAATGGAAAATAGCAAGTAACTGGCTCATTGCTAAGTCACTGTTAGCAATGTCAGCATGTCACTAGTAATATTGCTCTAAGAGCAATGTGAGTATTGTGGTCTGTTGCAGAAGACATCATTAACTATAACAATAGAGGAGGTAACACCTTTTAACAGTTGGGTTTGGTGGTAGTAATAATTTTTTCTAAATGTTATAAAGTTTACCAAGTGTCCTGAATTTGATGCTCAGTTGACCACAAGGACAATTATCATGAGTAATGTCCGGTATCTGGGTTTATTGCTGCTTTAGCCCATTACAGTAGAGCCTCAGAGTTAAGAACACCCACGTTACAAACTGACTAGTCAACCACAGACCTCATTTGGAACGGAAGTACACAATTAGGCAGCAAAAAAATAAAGGGAAAGTTTAAAAAAAAAGATTTGACAAGGTAAAGAAACTGTTTCTGTGCTCGTTTCATTTAAATTAAGATGGTTAAAAGCAGCATTTTTCTCCTGCATAGTAAAGTTTCAAAACTATTAAGTCAACATTCAGTTGTAAACTTTTGAAAGAACAATCGTAATGTTTTGTTCAGAATTACGAACATTTCGGAGTTACACACAACCTCCATTCCCGAGGTGTTCGTAACTCTGAGGTTCTACTGTAATTTACTATTTAGTAAAAGCAGCTAAATGCTTTTATGAAGGTTGGTTGTTTAAGCTGCTAAAATATTAACAGGAGAAGTGGCATACCGGTATAGCATTTCATTTTTTAAAGCCTATAACATGGAAAGAATAAAAATGTTAGCCATAGTGTATACTAGTAAATGAACCTTGTATTACTCTATCAAGCCAAAAGAGGGCTCTGTCAGTACACTCTTGGAGGATGCATAACTAAGCACAATGCAGTGTTTCAGTTATCCAGAGACCTGATCCTGAAAGGTGACGAATGTCATCAACCACGGTTTACTTCATTGGGAATTGAGAGCACTCAGCACCCTGTAGGACCAGGCCCAATGTCTGAGAAAAAACGGTTACTCCCTTCTTGTAACTGTTGTTCTTCGAGATGTGTTGTTCATGTCCATTCCAAACAGGTGTGTGCGCACACACGTGCGCGTTGGCTGGAAGATTTTCCCCCTAGCAGCATCTGTCGGGCTGCCCTGGGCGCCCCCTGGAGTCGCACTTTCATGGCACTCAATATAGAGCCCTGCCGACCTGCCATCCCTTCAGTTCCTTCTTGCTAGCTACTCCGACAGAGGGGTAGGAGGGTGGGTATTGGAATGGATATGAACAACACATCTCGAAGAAAAACAGTTACGAGAAGTGAGTAACCAGATTTTCTTCTTCGAGTGCTTGTTTAATGTCCATTCCATCAGGTGACTTCTAAGCCAAATTCAGGAGGTGGGGTCGGAGCTGTTCACTGATTGGAGTACTGCTTTTCCAAAGGCCGTATTGTCTCTGGCCTGCCAGGTGATTGCATCGTGCGTGGCAAAAGTGTGTATGGAAGACCACGTTGCTGCGCTGCAGATTTCCTGGGTGGGAACTTGAGCCAGGAATGCCATCGATGAAGCCTGGGCCCTGGTAGAGTGCGCAGTGATCGGAGGCACGAGGACCCCTTCCAGGTTTGTAGCACTTGCTGATACAGGCCAAGATCCATGATGAAATGCGCTGGGCCGAAACCAACTGGCCTTTCATCCTGTCTGCCACTGCCACAAAGAACTGGACCGACTTCCTGAACAGTTTAGTTCTCTCTGTGTAGAAAGCAAGCGCTTTTCAGAAGTTCAGAGTGTGGAGTCTCTGCTCCCTGTTGTTAAAATGAGGTTTAGGGTAGAAAACTAGAAGGAAAATGTCCTGGTTGATTTGGAACTGCGACACAACATTTGGGAGGAATGCAGGGTGTGGCCTGAGCTGAACTTTGTCCTTAAAGAACACCGTGTAGGATGGGTCTGAAGTCAGAGCCCTGAGCTCAGACACCTTCTTGGCCGAGGTTATCGCCACCAGGAACGTGACATTGTAGGAGAGGTAGAGCAGGGAGCATGTTGCTAAAGGCTCAAAGGGGTGCCCCATGAGTTTAGAGAGGACCAAGTTGAGGTCCCAAGCAGGAACTGGTTGGCAAACATGCGGGTACAGCCTGTCGAGCCCCTTTAGGAAGCGGCTGACCATGGGGTTACAAAAAAACCAAGCGGCCTTGTACACCCAGGTGGAATACCAAGATGGCAGCAAAGTGCACTCTTATAGAAGGTAACGAGAGACCCTCCTGTTTCAGATATAGAAGGTAGTCCAGAATGTGCAGCACTTAGGCTAGTATCAGTGGCGAGTCGCGCTGTGCCGATGAGATTAAAAATCTCTTCCACTTGGCAAGGTACGTGGCCCTCATCGAGGATTTTCTACTGCCAAGGAGGACCTGTCTAATCTGGTCTGAACAGGAAAGCTCTGACAGATTCAACCATGGAGCTTCCATGCTGTGAGATGGAGCGACTGCAGGAGACTGTTGGAGACATCCGTGATCCTGTGTGAGAAGGTCCGGGAAGAGCAGCAAGGTAATCAGGGCTCCCACTGACATGTCTAGGAGAGATGTGGACCAATGCTGACGAGGCGAGGCCGGTGCTATCAGTATGACCCGAGCACCATCTCTGCACATCTTGAGCAGGACCTTGTGAACAAGTGGTATTGGCGGGAAGGCATATAAGAAAGCCCCTTCCCAGTGGAGGAGAAACACATCTGCTGTGGAGCCCAGGCTGTGATTCTGGAAGGAGCAGAACTGCTGGCACTTCCTGTTGCGTCGTGTGGCAAAGTGATCGATCAAGGGAAATCCCCACCTCTGGAAGACTGAAGTTGCAACGTCTGGGCGAAGGGAGCACTCATGGCTGCGGAACGACCTGCTG